ATCGACGCGCGCCCTCCGATCATGTTCCTGTGGTTCTCCAGTTGGCCCTTGCTAAGCGTTCCCCCCCCGAAGCCCCCCATGCGGGTCACGTTGCGCTCTGAGTTCCAGGACTTGAGCCAAGAAGTTGCTGCCCAGGCCAGCCTCTCGGATGACCCTCGGGACCGTATTCTGGAGCTCAAGGATTGCATGTATGTCGTGAAATACGCTCTCCTGGATCGGATGTTCCGCCTCGGGCCCATCTCAGACCGGCAGAAGGTAGCCTCTGCGTGGGGTCTATGCGTGCTGCGCATCAGGGCGACCTCCATGCTGTCCGCCGCTGCCTTCGATCGCTTCCAGTACTAGGTCAGTACTTGTGCGGCGACCTTGAGGATGGTCGACTTTGTAGCGTTTCAGTCGTATCTGCGCGTTTCAGTCGTATCTGCAGGGCTTGTGCAGTGGCATCCTCTACGCTGAACTGTCCGACTTTTGCTGGCGACCTCTCTTCGTCGCATGCGGGCCCCAAACCTTCCCGACTGCACGACCAACTCGGGCTCGGGTCTCCCAGACGACGGACTTCGACATCGCCCCGCGCCCCGACCTCGACGGCCCCCGCGCCCCCGCCCACGAGGCCAGCGCGGCCAAACTGGCCAAGCTCTTGCGTATTCGGAAGGGGTCCGCGCCTGGCCCCGACGGCATCGCGCGCGTCGCCTGGCTCGCAGGACGAGCGCCGCGATTGCCCACTGCACCTCTATTCCATTCTCTTCGACTGCTCCAGCATGCCTGAGGGTTTTCACGACGCGTTTACGGTTCTCAAACCCCCAGCGACGAGGGCCCAGAGGCCATCCCGGCGCGTCAGTCAATCGATCCCGGGCAGGTTTTTCGGGCCGCTGGGGCCATTCGGCCCATTGCGCTTTCTAGCTGCGACAACAAAATCATCGCTGCTACCATCGCCAACCCCCTCATGGAACAAGCTCAATTCTCGACCGTCTTGGCCCAGAAGTGCTTCGTCAGCCGTCGCCAGATGAATGGCCATATCCTGGATGGAGGCCTCTCTCCTCGACTTCTTCGCGTTTCAAGGCCGCGGGCAGGCAGGGTTTTCCTTGCTGGACATCGCGGCCGCGCCCCCGTCGCTCGACCGCGACTGGATCATCGATTGCGCGGCGAGCCTCGGGGCCTCGAACGGTTCGTATCTTGCCATTGGCGAGTTCTATAATTATGTATGCGGCCACGGAGATGGTCTTAAGAGGCCAGGTTTTCGACGGCCGCGCCACTGTTCGCGGGGCGAAACAGGGTTGCCCGCTCAGCGGGGCGTTTTTTGCGTTTGGTCTCGATTCGATCATCAGACATTCGAGAGGGCTTCACTGCCGCGCCCCCGCCGCCCTTTGCCTTCGCCGACGACGTTGGCATCGCGGCCCGCGATCTTCTCGCGAAGGCGCTTGTCGCCCTGGACATACTGGAGAATGCCTACTGGGTCGCTGGCGCGGCCCTGGAGCTTTCCAAGTGCTTCTTGGTGGTCCCCGCCAGTCTCGCGAAGGCTGACCTCGTTCGGGCGTTCCCGGATATCTCAGAGGCGACGATAGGGGCGAATAGCCCAGGGGAGAGCAATTCGCGTAGTCAGGTGCGCCGATGAATTTTTGTCTTCGAAAAAGGCTCCCAGGCGAATGCGTGCGCTGCCCGCCCCTGGGCCATTCGCCCGTGTCGTCGCCGCCGATGGAGATCGGGTTTGGCGTCTCGAGCTTCGGGGTCTGCACCATCGAGAGGCGCGCGGGCCTGCATCTCGGGCCTGGCGGGCCGCGCGAGCCGGGAGCTGCCCCTGGAGAAATTCGGGAAACGTCTATGCTACGCCCGCGGCCAGTTTTTTGGGGCTGACGCGAAACATATGCGCCTAATTTTTGTTTCGCGCTTCCGCTGCTGAGTTTCCCTGAGCAATTTCTGCCCGTCCCTGGGGCCGTTTTTCGCGCCGAGCGAGGCGCTCGCCGGTTCCTGACTGCGGGGCCGAGATAGGCGATTCCCGCTGCCGTTCTTGATCAGAGTAATATCGTGGGTATCCTTGTCCGCCCTCGTTGATTAGATATCGAAATCAGGCTGCAATGTGTTTCGTCTGCATGCGATCAGAGGTCTGCCCTGCCATCTTCGATCGCTGGCGCGAGCTCCGAGATGTTGATGTGGATCGTCCTGTGGTTCCCTGGCCTCTGACAGGGTTCGAGAGTCCGTCGCCTGCAGCCGCTGCCCCCTCCTTCTTACCCCGACGAGGCCCAATTGCGGCGCAAGATCTGCCGTGCCCTGATGGAGCTGGCCCAAGTGAGTCAGCCCCCGATAGGCTCTGAGTGTCTCCCTAGGCTCCGTCATATCGCCTCTTTTGTCGCCGCTGCTTGTCTTCGCTCTGTGCGCAACGGGTGGTGCACCTCCGCTCGTTTCCGACAAGGGCGCCCGTCCTGTCGCTTTGGCTGCCCAGTTGCTGGAGGCGACCACATTCCCCACAACTCCTCCTGCCCCGCTGTGCTTCCCATCTTGTCGTCCGTTGTGCCTTAGCTGCCGTCTTGCGATTCCCCAATCAGTGCTTGCACTGAAGGGGTCCTAGCGGAAACTGAAAGATTTGGCGAAAGTTTCCCGCCGATTCTGATAGCAGGCTGGGCTCCCCGGTTCCCAGCTCCGGGTTCCCAGGTTCCCGGTTATTGGTTCCGGGCCGATTTCAGGAGGTTCTGGGTTCCCGGGCTCCCGGGTTCCCGGTCGATCTCCTCACCGAAAACCATTATTTGGTGGAATTCTGTGGTGTAATTCTTCTTGCGATGGCATGATAGGGTTTTTTCTTTGGTGTATTTTTTTTTCGATGGCATGATGTCGACCGTCTGCTGCTCGTCACTCGTTGTTATTCGCCCGCGCGTGATCTGAAGCCTGCCTTTATCATGATTTCCCCTCTTCCTCTTGGAACTAGTATACGACCTCCGTCATCACAACAAATGGGGTGGCCGGCAGCTCCGAGGCTTTCTTGCCGCGAGAGCCCGTGCCATCGTGAACATGCAACGGGCGATTACAGAGCTGCTCATCTGCGGATAAGCCGAACCGTCCGCCGAAGGCCGAGTTGATCATCATCACCGCACCCCACCATCATCATCAACATCATCGGCATCGTCATCATCAACATCAATACCATCATCAGCATCATCAGCATCATCGTCACCATCACCGCCATCATTATCCTCCTCCCTCCTCCGTCATCCCTCCTCCCTCCTCCGTCATCCCTCCTCCCTCCCTCCCTCCTCCTCCCTCCCTTTCTCCATCCTCCCTCCTCCGTCGTCCCTCCTCCCTCGCCCCTCCTCCGTCGAGGCCACCCGGCCTCGCGCGCCGAGCCCCACCTGTGCGCGCCGTGCGGCTGTCTTCGTGCCCTCGTCTGGAGGACGGCCAGTCGAGGACGGCGTCCTTCAGGAGGGGAAAAAACACACAGACACAATTAATCGTCGATTTCCCAGAAAATATGGGAAAATATGGGAAGTGGTGGGGAAGACAAAAACCCAGAAAATATAGGAAGATATGGGGAATCTTTTTATTTGTGTGTATTTATTTGTGTGTCCCAGTTTCCCTTCAGTCCTTTCCTGACGCTTGCGTTCTCGGGGGCAACGTGAGGGGGGCGTGCAGTCGGACCGGGGCATGAGATCGATGTCGGTCCGGGGAGGGTGCCCTGGTCCCTCGTGTTCTTCGTGCTTGTTTGATGCTTCTGCACACTGCAGGGGGTATGCTTGGAGTTTCTGTGCGCTTTGGCCGGCGGAGGGTCTCATGATCTTGAGGGGTGCTCTTTTCGTCTTGGTCTGACTGTAGGCTCAGGAGGGGATGCATCGACCCCGGATCGCCCATTGATCGCTGATAAGGGACAGATAGCGGATTTGCTATCGGGGGTCTTCGATGTACCGGCGATTGCCGATCAAACCTCGATGCATTCGCCCCTGAGCTGCCCCGTTCCCCATGCCGTTGCGCGTCATGTTCGCCCTTTTCTGGGCCATCTGGAGGCTTCCCATCGCCGCGCCTGGATCCTCCTCGAGAAGCGTGGTCAGGGTGGACCCTGGGAGGGGTCCGGGGGCGGATTCTGACAAAAAGTTTGGGCAGGTGGGAGGGCCGCGGTCGTCTCAACTGGCAATCCTTCTTCGCAGAGGGGAGGGAGGGGGGGAATCTGATGAGAACGAGCATCCTCGAAAACATGATCGCAGCTTTTCGGAGGTCCGCGCACTGATCATCCATTCATTCGTCCATCCATCCATCCACCCATCCGTCCATAAATCCATCCTTCCATCCATACGTCCATCCATACATCCTCCATCCACCCTCCAGGACACCGTGTTTGAAAAAGGGTCAGACGATAATCCGGGCTATCGGGCCCGCCCGCATCCGCCCCTCCCCTTCGGATAACCTGACCCCGTCGGCTGTGCAGGTCCGAAAGGGGCACGCAGTGCTGGTGCGAGCGGGCGCACGTGGGGCTGCCCAACGTGAAAAGGTTAGGCTATCGTTAAGTCGGGCGTGCCCCCCTATAGGAGGCAGATTCAAAAATAGTCAAAAAATACTCGGGGGACGGCTTTCTGATTACTTTTGACCATCTTGGGGCATTTTTGGACTATTTTTAATACTTCGTCCAAAAATCCGCTTGCAGGGGGACACGCCCGACCTAAGGCTATCGGCCGCCACCTCCCCCCTCCGCCCCCACCGGATAACCCGGATTATCGCCGAGAAGTGAAGAAGTGTCTCCTTCGTGCAACGACCTCGATTGTATTCCATCCGTCACCCATCCTTCCGTTCAAGCCGTGGGGTAGCGTCACGTGCGGCCCACAGGCCCGCCGTAGAGTTCTCAGAGCGTTTCAAGGTTTGCACGGCATGTCCCCAGAGCACGTCTGGCCGCTACCGTCTTGCTCTGGCGCGTCGGCTCTATACGCTCGGAGACCACTGCTCCCGCTCTTGGAGCACCCGTTCGTTCGAGGAGCATGCCGCGGCAGGCCCACGGGAGTGCCATCCGTCACTGCCGCACCCCGCCGCAGGTGCTCCCCAACGACGCCTCCTCCCGCCGCGCCTCCCCGCGGCGGCCCGGCGGCGGCTCCGCGCCGAGCGCCAGGCCGTCTGCGGCCGCCGCCGCCGCCTGCCACGGGGACGCTGGGACGACGGCGATCGCAAGGGCTCCCACGAGGGCGCGAAGTCATTTGCGCTTCGCGGTCCTCGTCCCTTCTCCCCCTCCTCGTCCTCCTTTTTTCCCTTCGGGGGGGCGGCGCGAGAGCGCGAAGTTGGGAGCCCTAGGCGATCGGGGGTCGAGGGTCGAGGAGGGCGGGAGGGGAGGGTCAGATGAGGAGATGGTGTTGATACCGCTACCCTTCCCTCGTCGAAACGGCTGGATTCTCCTTGAAATTCTGGTCAGAACGCACCCCAGGAGAGGTCCGGGAAGGAGCGGTATCGGTACGCTTCTGTCCGCCAGGGATGGAGGATCGAGGATAAAGGAGAGGACCAGAAGGCGGAGGAGGAGAAGGAGGAGGAGAAGGAGGCGGAGGAGGCGGAGGAGGCGTAGGAGTAGGAAGAGATGGATGACTTGTGGTTGTTTCCCAGTCTCGGGATGGAGGCGGAGGTCGAGGAGGGAGGGAGGAGAGGGAGGGACGGAGGCAGTCAGAAGGTGGGAGGACTTTCTCGGCTTTCTTGGAATCGAGGTATGGGATTCTCCGGTATTTGAATAGGATCTCGGCAGTTTTCTAGCCTGGGGATGCGTTCTGGCAGCTGCGCCTCGCCGGGAGCGTTCTGGAGTTGCCTGGATCCTTCCGAACGACCACGGGAGACCCGAGTTATGGCCCGAAATCCAGGGGAGGGAGAGAGGAGGAGGAGGAGGAGGAGGAGGAGCAGGAGCAGGAGGAGGAGGAGGAGGAGGAAGAGGAGGAATAGGAGGAATAGGAGGAGAAGGAGGAGGAGAAGGAGGAGTAGGAGGAGAAGGGAGGAGGGAGGAACGAGGGGGGACAAGGATCGAGGAAGAGGGAGGACCAGTTAGGAGGAGGGCGACGACTACGGCCACCGGGCCTCGCAAGGCGTTTTGCCCAGCCTTCTCAGCACACTTAGGGCGATCACGGGGGTCATCGGAGACGTCCCAGAGACCCCCAAGACAGCACAAGAGCGCTCCAAGAGTGACCGACGTGACCTCAAGATGGCCCAAGAGGCCTCCAGGACGGCCCCAAAGAGGCCTCCATGAGCACTCCCAAGAAGGCCCCCCCGAGGCAAACATCATTGATTTTCTGTTGGTTTTTGGTGAATTTGGGGGTTCTCCTCTTTTCGGCTTCCCGACGCTCCAAGACGGCGGTCTTCTGGGCGTCCGAAGCCGCCTGGGAGGCTCCCAAATCGCCCCACAACCATCCGAAAGGGCTTCCAGGCAGTCCAAGAGAGCCCCAAAACGGCACAACACGGGTCCAAGATGGCCCTCAGAGAGCCCCATGGCGGCCCAAGATGGCCCAAAGACACCCTCCGAAGAATTCCAAATCGTGATTCGGTCGTTCAGGGAGACGGCGGTTGGAGGAAGGGTGGCCCGAGGAAGCCCCCGGAGGCCCCCAGAATACGCCCAGGAGGCCTCCAGAAGGCCTTGAGAAAGCCCGAAACAACTTTTTTGTGGCCCCCAGAGGCTCTCCAGGGAGGAGCCTCCGCAAAAAAGAGCTGAGGAGGATGGGGAGAATGCGCAGGGGATGGCGAAAATCAGGAACAATAAGCATGGAGGAAGGATAACGAACAACATCATTATAGCGGCGATGCCGGGAAAGGCAACCAGGAGTTATCGCTAAATTGTCGGCTTGGCCTTCCTGCCACTCCGCCTGCATACCAAATTTCAAGGACCAAGGTGCATGGCGCGAAGCGCCACTGCAGTCTTGTATATATATATATATATATATATATATATATTATATATATATATATATATATATATATATATATATATATATACATATCGGCGCACCGGGTCCGGGGGCCCGGGGCCGGGACCTCGACCGCAAATGTGGGCTCCGGGGGGCCCGGAGGCTCGTCGGGGCTTGCCGGAGGCCTCCCCGGTCAGACAAGACGGCCCCAGGAGCGCCCAAGACGGCCCAAGAAATTTCCAAGAGGCCTCCAAGAGGGCTCCGAGATGCTGAAGATGGCCTCCAGACGTCCAAGGACGCCCCCAAGAGGCCCCAAGAAGCCTCCAACATGCGTCCCAAGAGGGCCCCTAGACGCAAAAATTGGCCCATTCCCTTCGTAAAACGTACATTTTCAACAAAGTTCTCTTTTGGGCTTTCCGACGTTACAGGACGGCCCAAGAGGCGCCCAAGACCGCCCCAAGACGGCCCAAGAAGCTTCCAAGAGGGCCCCAGGACAGCCCAAGAGGGCCCCAAGACGGCCCAAGAGGCGCCCAAGATGGCCCAAGAGGGCCCCAAGACGGGCCCAAGAGGGGGCCCAGAGGGGGACCACGAACCGCAAGCTCGAGCCTTCCGCCCCAAGAGGCCGCCAGGAGGCCCCCAGGAGGCCCCTCAAGAGGCCCCAGGAGACCCCAGACGTCCAAGGACGCCCCCAAGACGCCCCAAGAAGCCTCCAACATGCGTCCCAAGAGGGCCCCTAGACGCAAAAATTTGCCCATTCCCTTCGTAAAACGTACATTTTCAACAAAGTCGCCTTTTGGGCTTTCCGACGTTACAGGACGGCCCAAGAGGCGCCCAAGACCGCCCCAAGACGGCCCAAGAAGCTTCCAAGAGGGCCCCAGGACAGCCCAAGAGGGCCCCAAGACGGCCCAAGAGGCGCCCAAGATGGCCCAAGAGGGCCCCAAGACGGGCCCAAGAGGGGGCCCAGAGGGGGACCACGAACCGCAAGCTCGAGCCTTCCGCCCCAAGAGGCCGCCAGGAGGCCCCCAGGAGGCCCCTCAAGAGGCCCCAGGAGACCCCAGACGTCCAAGGACGCCCCCAAGACGCCCCAAGAAGCCTCCAACATGCGTCCCAAGAGGGCCCCTAGACGCAAAAATTGACCCATTCCCTTCGTAAAACGTACATTTTCAACAAAGTCGCCTTTTGGGCTTTCCGACGTTACAGGACGGCCCAAGAGGCGCCCAAGACCGCCCCAAGACGGCCCAAGAAGCTTCCAAGAGGGCCCCAGGACAGCCCAAGAGGGCCCCAAGACGGCCCAAGAGGCGCCCAAGATGGCCCAAGAGGGCCCCAAGACGGGCCCAAGAGGGGGCCCAGAGGGGGACCACGAACCGCAAGCTCGAGCCTTCCGCCCCAAGAGGCCGCCGCCAGGCCCCCAGGAGGCCCCTCAAGAGGCCCCAGGAGACCCCAGACGTCCAAGGACGCCCCCACGACGCTTCGCGTCACCAATTTCTTCTCACAACGATTCCTGGGTCTGTGACTCGACAGAACCTAAGCGCGCGCGAAGCGCGCGCGTGGTTCTAGTATATATATATATATATATATATATATACACATATATATATATATATATATGAGATCATATCATATCCTATCATATACCGGGGTACCGGGGGCCAGGGCCCCGGGCCGGGACACCCTCCCGAATTCCCCCCCCCCCCCCCCCATAACCCACTTTGCCGCCCCCGGGCGTCCGGAGGCTCTTTTGCGCCCCCGGAGGCATCCACCACGGCTTCCGGGGACGGCAAAAGGCCGCCAAGACGGCCCAAGAGCGCTCCAAGACTCTCAAGATAGCCCCATCAAGGCCCAAGGGGCCCCCAAGAAGCTTCAGGGGCGCTCCGAGAGGCTTTCCAAGAGAGCCCCAAGAGGCTAACATCACAGATTTTCATTGTGTTTTTCCTGTGTTTTTGGCTTGCCCGCGTTTCCAGGCTTCTGACCTTCCACGATTGCCGAGGAAGCTTCGAACATCGCCCCGAGACGGCCCAAAAGGCCCTCGAGAGGCCCCCAAGACAGCCCAAGAGGGCGCCCAAACGGTCCAAGAGGCGCCCAAGACGGCCCAAGAGGGCTTCAAGACGGCCCCAAGAGGTGCTGAAGAGGGGGAACACGAACCGACAATGGAGATCACCGCCCCAATAGGCCCCCAAGAGGCCCCCAAGAGGCCCCAAGAGGTTTAAAAATGCCCCCATCAGAGACCCCAAAGAGGCCCCAAGATGCCCCAAAACGGCCCCCCGGAGGCTTCGAAACATTTCAAAATTGCCTCCCCCCAAGAAGCACTCCAGAGGCCCCACGAAGCCCACTGAAGGCCCCAAAGAGCCCCTACAGTCCGCAAGCAGCCCCTCATGTTGATGTTTCAAACCATGCTGAAGCCATTCGTCGGTACGTGCATTCGTGCAGCCGTGACTTTGTCAATGCGCGCAGCCGTGGTATTGTCAAGCGCCTGCGCTTGCTAGAACCTAAGCGCGCGCGAAGCGCGCGCGTGGTTCTAGTGAATGTATGGTTGCTGCGTCGGATACTCGGTTTGGCCAGGAACTGATTACTATGCTCGGATTCGCATTGCCTTGGAATGCGCGTGGTTGTTCTTATTTCCTCTTGGCCACCTTTCCTGCTGCCTCGACATTGAAACGTTCACGTAAGGACGAACAGAGCAGGGATGGCACGGTTATGCAACATTGCATTGGAATTGCTTGCCATCTGGGTTGCTTGTATTCTAGACCTTTCTCGTAACCCCACAAGTTTCTTGGCGCGGCTGCCTCTTCTCTTGATGGCGCGCGGTTGGACCGCGACGCTCGCGAACAAAAAAATACTCCAGCAGCGTTCTCTCTCCCTCTTGCGCAATTTAGGCCGTAGCTAGAGTGTTGCGACTTTCTGACGGCGTTCGGCACTTCCGCTACGCTTGCGATCACAAAAGTAATCCCACCAGCACATCAAAAGCGAGCCCAGGCGCGTTGCCTTGATCAGGGAAGCGCAGGAACAAACAGTGGAACAAAAAGGGGCGCATCCGTTCAGACTGCTTACCAATCTGTCGCTAATCGTGTGAGATCCTGGGAGGCCCAGAGGTGCGACGTCTTACTGGAAAGCAGGCTAGACCTCGCGTCCGGTGTGGGTGGGATGTCGAGCGCCCACGGCCTGTCACATGTTGAGCCATTGGTCAATATGGCGACCTGGACGTGCTTATGGGAAGACGTGAAGCGGCACTGCCCCCCGGCAGGTTCGTTGAGGGATATGTGTAGAAAACAACCGTAGCTGCTTCCATGAACTTCTGGGATATCCAGCAGCATGCGGCCTCCTCATTCTCTGCCTCCTGCTCCGGCTCAAGCCGCTTCGCCTCCGGCAGGAGCAGTTGCTCCCATCCCATTGGATCTTACACATTCGAACGTCGGTGTTCGCTCCAATTCAGCGCAAGTTCAGTCTGCTCCAACGCAATTCGGAGAAGAAGACACGCCATAGACACAAACTGTTGGCACTCCGCGCGGATTTCTTGGATCTGCGCTGGACCCCCCCAGCGGCGCCTCTAGCGCCGCACCTGGCGGCTCCGCGCGCCAGGGGGGGACCTCTAGTCCAGATCCAAGAAAGTCGCGCGGACCTCCAAAAGTTCACGTGCATGTTGTTGTTTCTTCCTCCAGCAATGGCCCGATTCCTTCTGAGCACAGTCTTCTGGCTGTCGCCGTCAATCGGCGGAACGGCTGCCATGACCGTTGTGTCCACCAACCAGTCCCTCGGTGTCACGAATCGCGGCGTTTCGCTTGCCCCGGCCTTGGGTTGGGTCGGGCTGGGCACGCGTGGCTGGCCGCGTGGGGGCGCGTGGGGGGGGGGTGAGCCTAAACTAACACGACCCGAAAGCCGTCTGTCTCCTAAGCCGCGCCGAGGGCCGTGTGGGGGGGGGGCCCTTGGAATTTGAGGCCCGCCCGCCCGCACCATTCCAGGGCGGCTTACCCCCCCTGTTACCCGCAAGCGGTGGCAGCAAAGCATCGGGAATTCGTGGAGTCGGACCCCAGGAAGAGTCACCCCAAGTCTACAAGGCCTGGGCGGCCCACCCAAGGCTGGCACCCGGGCGGCAGGGCAATCCAGGCCTGGCCTTTCGGCCCGCGTCGGCGGCCGGCAAGCGGACCGAGCACGTTCTCGGTCCCGCCGGCGGCACGTCGCGGACGGTCCGTGGGCCCGCGGCGCGCCCCAGGCATTTAACCCAGGGCGGCCGTGAGTAATCTAAGCTGGCCTTTCGGCCCGCGGGGGCGGCCGGCAGGTGGAACGAGCATGTCCTCGGTCCCGCCGGCGGCACCTCGCGGATGCTCCGTGGGCCCGCGGCGCGCGGTCGGCGGGATACCAGTGCGTCCCGGCCGGCGCGCTGTCGCTGTGCGCATAAATTAACGAGAAGCCAGTGCGCCTTCAGCTGCGCACGCCAAGCAAGGCATGCCGTGCTGCCCCAGGCCAGACGGCCCAGGGCGGCTCGGGCCGGTCATGCAGGGCCAGCGTGCCCGCGCCGGCGGCCGGCTTGTGGACCGGGCACGTCCTTGGTCCCGCCGGCTCTCCGCGCCGAGGGCCAGTGTGTCCCGTGCGACGGTTCAAACGCCGCGCGCCCGCCCCGAGGGGGGGCGGGCCGGCCTGCGTATTTCGGGGACTCGACCATGTGATTCGGTGCCCCGTGACGTGATTGTGTCGTGGCACCTCCCCCTTGACTTTGCCACTAAAAGATGCGCGCCCCCCTTCCCCTCTCCTCGCTTACCCTCTTTCCGCCTGGACACGTCCAAGGCCGCCGCCGCGGTGCCGCGCCGCGGGGCCTCGAGGCGTGCGGTGGGTATGGGACGCTGCCCGCCCTCCGGGGTGTCGGGCTGGGCCCGTAACCATCGCCGCCCGAGGGCCCGCGGTCGTGGCTCCGCGGGTCGGGGGAGGAGGATGTCCCCTGGGCGGCGTGTGCGTCAGGGCCAAGGGGAAGTCAGGGGGTGCGCCGTCAGGTGGACCCCCCCTCCACTGCGCCCCCCGCGGCTGGCGGAGGCCACGACCGCGAGTGCCTCGACGGCGGCGCCGTCTGAAGTACCAACCACAGTCGGGTACAATAACGCTCTCCAGCAGGAGCCCAAACTTACGAACGGCGACTTCTCATCCAGATCCAATACGCATTCCATTCTTTCCAATCGTCCGAGCCCAGACCCAGTCGTTGGCGATTCGTATTCTTTTGATATCGGTGGTGTTTACCACGTGGCTTCAATTGCGATTGCCCGCGGTAATGCAAAATGGGGTGGAACCGAATGTCCCAAGGTCATCAACATCTACACATCTAGCAGCTTGAATGGGCCTTGGGCCATGTCGCAAGCAATTACAAACGGTGATTCGAGCCCTGCTCGGAAGGACTTTTCGTTGGCGTTAATGACGACGCAATTCGTCAGGCTGCATTTCGTGAGTAGTCATGGCAATAGTCATGTCCTTGTCCGACAGGTCGCATTCTTTGCCAGCCAGGCGACGCCATCTCCGACCCCGTACCCAACGTTTTACCCGACGGCCTACCCCACCGCTTTCCCGACGTCCAGTCCGACTGCCATCCCGACCGGCGGAAGCGTCGCTGCCGTTGGGGACCCCCACCTTCAAAACGTTCATGGCGAGCGGTTCGATTTGATGAAAGCGGGCACACATGTTCTGATAAACATCCCTCGTGGACTGAACGCTGAAAACGCATTTCTTCGTGTGCAGGCTGATGCGCGCCGACTGGGAGGACACTGCGCGGACATGTGTTTCCAAGCATTGAACGTTTCAGGGTATTGGGCAGAGGCCGAACAAGTTGGAGGGTAGCATTTCAGCGTTTCTCAAAGCTCAGCCGAGGTCCCAGAATGGCTCGCGTTGGGTCCAGTAAAGTTGAAAGTCGTTCATGGACATACGGACAGTGGCTCCTTGTATTTGAACGTGTTCGTGAAACATTTAGGGCGAGCAGGGTTTGCCATCGGAGGTCTTCTGGGGGAGGACGACCACAAAGACGTGACCTCGCCATCATAATTATGTGCGACGCGTACGGAGCTCCATGAGCCTGTGTACCGAAATGGCCCGAGTGGCTCCAATACTTCATTTGTTGCCTTTGCATCCTACGCTTGACAGTGTTAGCTAAAGTCGACGGAGGAAGGGGATGGTGCAACGTGAATCATGGCGCGCAAGTGACCAAAGCCGCTCAGTCAAGCAGAGCAGCGGCAGAGAACCACAAGGTTTGTCATGTAATCAATTGAGGTGGCAAACAGTGGCCAAAGCCAAGTGGCCAACGCCGCTCAGTGAGGTGGAGCCGATGCTGAGAGCCACACCGCTTCGATTTATTCGACTCTTTCTCCGTCCCCTCTCTTCTTCGCTTATCGTCGCTCCAGCTGTCGCGCCCAACCAGGCGTCCTTTTGTCGTTCAAGCATGAATGTATGGTTGATGCGTCGGATATTCGGTTTGGCCAGGAACTGACTACTATGCTCGGATTTGCATTGCCTTGGAATGCATGTGGTTGTTCTTATTTCCTCTTGGCCACCTCTCCTGCTGCTTCGACCTTGAAACGTTCACGTAAGCGGGGGTGTTTTCTGGTGGAGCACGCTGGGACGAACTGAGCAGGGTTGGCAGCTTTATGCAACATTGCATTCGAATTGCTTGCCATCAGGGTTTCTTATAGTCTAGACGCTTCGCGTGACCCCACCAGCCCATCCAGAAACGAGTCCAGGCGAGTTGCCTTGATCAGGGAAGTGCAGGAACAAGCAGTGGAACAAACATGGGGGGGAGCATCCTTTCAGACTGTTACCAAGCTGTCACTAATCGTGGCGTCCTGGGAGGCCCAGAGGCGTGACGTCTTACTGGAAAGCAAACTAGACCTCGCGTCCAGTGTGTGTGGGGGGAGGTCGAGCGCCCACGGCTGGTCACATGTCGAGGCATTGGTCAATATGGCGACCTGGATGTGCTTTGGGGCAGATGTTCAGCGGCACTGCCCCCCAGCAGGTTCGTGGAGGGATATTTGTAGATCGCAACCGTAGCCTCCTTCGTGAGCTTCTGGGATATCCAGCAGCACGCGGCCTCCTCATTCTCTGCCTCCTGCTCCAGCTCAAGCCGCTTCGCCTCCGGCAAGAGCAGTTGCTCCCATCCCACTGGATCTTACACACTCGAACGTCGGTGTTCGCTCCAATTCAGCGCAAGTTCAGTCTGCTCCAACGCAATTCGAAGAAGAAGACACGCCATAGACACAAACTGTTGGCACTCCGCGCGGATTTCTTGGATCTGCGCTGGACCCCCCCAGCGGCGCCTCTAGCGCCGCACCTGGCGGCTCCGCGCGCCAGGGGGGTGCTCTAGCCCAGATCCAAGAAAGTCGCGCGGACCTCCAAAAGTTCATGTGCATGCTGCTTTTTCTTCCTCCAGCCATGGCCCGATTCCTTCTGAGCACAGTCTTCTGGCTCTCGCCGTCAATCGGCGGAACGGCTGCCATGACCGTTGTGTCCACCAACCAGTCCCTCGGTGTCGCGAATCGCGGCGCGGAGGCCACGACCGCGAGTGCCTCGACGGCGACGCCGTCTGAAGTACCAACCACAGTCGGGTACAACAACGCTCTCCAGCAGGAGCCCAAACTTACGAACGGTGACTTCTCATCCGGATCCAATACGCATTCCATTCTTTCCAATCGTCCGAGCCCAGACCCAGTCGTTGGCGATTCGTATTATTTTGATCTCGGTGGTGTTTACGACGTGGCTTCAATTGCGATTGCCCCCGGTAATGCAAAATGGGGTGGAACCGAATGTCCCAAGGTCATCAACATCTACACATCTAGCAGCTTGAATGGGCCTTGGGCCATGTCGCAAGCAATTACAAACGGTGATTCGAGCCCTGCTCGGAAGGACTTTTCGTTGGCGTTAATGACGACGCAATTCGTCAGGCTGCATTTCGTGAGTAGTCATGGCAATAGTCATGTCCTTGTCCGACAGGTCGCATTCTTTGCCAGCCAGGCGACGCCATCTCCGACCCCGTACCCAACGTTTTACCCGACGGCCTACCCCACCGCTTTCCCGACGTCCAGTCCGACTGCCATCCCGACCGGCGGAAGCGCTGCTGCCGTTGGGGACCCCCACCGTCAAAACGTTCATGGCGAGCGGTTCGATTTGATGAAAGCGGGCACACATGTTCTGATAAACATCCCTCGTGGACTGAGCGCTGAAGACGCATTTCTTCGTGTGCAGGCTGATGCGCGCCGACTGGGAGGACACTGCGCGGACATGTACTTCCAAGCATTGAACGTTTCAGGGTATTGGGCAGAGGCCGAACAAGTTGGAGGGTATCATTTCAGCGTTTCTCAAAGCTCAGCCGAGGTCCCAGAATGGCTCGCGTTGGGTCCAGTACAGTTGAAAGTCATTCATGGACATACGGACAGTGGCTCCTTGTATTTGAACGTGTTCGTGAAACATTTAGGGCGAGCAGGATTTGCCGTCGGAGGTCTTCTGGGGGAGGACGACCACACAGACGTGACCTTGCCGTCGGAACTATGTGCGACGCGTACGGAGCTCCATGAGCCTGCGTACCGAGATGGTCCGAGTGGCTCAAATACTTCGTCTGTCGCCCTTGCATCCTACGCTTGACAGTGTTAGCTAAAGTCGACGGAGGAAGGGGATGGTGCAACGTGAACCATGGCGCGCAAGTGACCGAAGCCGCTCAGTCAAGCAGAGCAGCGGCAGAGAGCCACATGGTTTGTCATGTAATCAATTGAGGTGGCAAACAGTGGCCAAAACCAAGTGGCCAACGCCTTTCAGTGAGGTGGAGCCGATGCTGAGAGCCACATCGCTTCGATGTGCTCGACTCTTTCTCCGTCCCCTCTCTTCTTCCCTTATCGTCGCTCCAGCTGTCGCGCCCAACCAGGCGTCCTTTTGTCGTTCAAGCATGAATGTATGGTTGATGCGTCGGATATTCGGTTTGGCCAGGAACTGACTACTATGCTCGGATTTGCATTGCCTTGGAATGCATGTGGTTGTTCTTATTTCCTCTTGGCCACCTCTCCTGCTGCCTCAACCTTGAAACGTTCACGTAAGCGGGGGTGTTTTTTGGTGGACCACGCTTGGACGAACGGAGCAGGGGTGGCAGGGTTATACAACATTGCATTGGAATTGCTTGCCATCAGGGTTTCTTATATTTTAGACCTTTCGCGTAACCCCACCAGTTTCTTGGCGCGGGTGCCTTTTCTCTTGACGGCGCGCGGTTGGACCGCGACGCTCGCGAACACAAAAAGTAGCCCCACCAGCGTTCTCTCTCCTTCTTGCGCAAATTAGGCCGTAGCTAGAGTGTTACGACTTTCTGACGGCGTTCGGCATTTCCGCTACGCTTGCGATCAAACAAGTAATCCCACCAGCCCATCAAAAGCGAGCCCAGGCGAGTTGCCTTGATCAGGGAAGAACAGGAACAAGCAGTGGAACAAAGAGAGGGGGCATCTGTTCAGACTGCTTACCAACCTGTCGCTAATCTTGTGAGATCCTGGGAGGCCGAGAGGTGCGACGTCTTACTGGAAAGCAGGCTAGACCTCGCGTCCGGTGTGGGTGGGATGTCGAGCGCCCACGGCTGGTCACATGTCGAGGCATTGGTTAATATGGCGACCTGGATGTGCTTATGGGAAGACGTGAAGCGACAGTGCCCCCCGGATCTGTGTAGGACGCAACCGTAGCTGCCTCCGTGAGCTTCTGGGATATCCAGCAGCATGCGGCCTCCTCATTCTCTGCATCCTGCTCCTGCTCAAGCCGCTTCGCCTCCGGCAGGAGCAGCTGCTCCCATCCCACTGAACCTTACACACTCGAACGTCGGTGTTCGCTCCAATTCAGCGCAAGTTCAGTCTGCTCCACCGCAATTCGAAGAAGAGAAACGCCATGGACATAAACTTTTGGCGCTCCGCGCGGATTTTTTGGATCTGTGCTGGACCCCCCCAGCGGCGCCTCCGGCGCCGCACCTGGCGGCTCTGCGCGCCATGGGGGTGCTCTAGCCCAGATCCAAAAAAGTCGCGCGGACCTCCAAAAGTTCATGTGCATGCTGCTTTCTCTTCCTCCAGCAATGGCCCGATTCCTTCTGGGCACAGTGTTCTGGCTGTCGGGGTCAATCGGAGGAACGGCTGCCATGACCTTCGTGTCCACCAACCAGTCCCTCGGTGTCGCGAATCGCGGCGCGGAGGCCACGACCGCGAGTGCCTCGACGGCGACGCCGTCTGAAGTACCAACCACAGTCGGGTACAACAACGCTCTCCAGCAGGAGCCCAAACTTACGAACGGTGACTTCTCATCCGGATCCAATACGCATTCCATTCTTTCCAATCGTCCGAGCCCAGACCCAGTCGTTGGCGATTCGTATTATTTTGATCTCGGTGGTGTTTACGACGTGGCTTCAATTGCGATTGCCCCCGGTAATGCAAAATGGGGTGGAACCGAATGTCCCAAGGTCACCAACATCTACACATCTAGCAGCTTGAATGGGCCTTGGGTCATGTCGCAAGCAATTACAAATGGTGATTCGAGCCCTGCTCGGAAGGACTTTTCGTTGGCGTTAATGACGACGCAATTCGTCAGGCTGCATTTCGTGAGTAGTCATGGCAATAGTCATGTCCTTGTCCGACAGGTCGCATTCTTTGCCAGCCAGGCGACGCCATCTCCGACCCCGTACCCAACGTTTTACCCGACGGCCTACCCCACGGCTTTCCCGACGTCCAGTCCGACTGCCATCCCGACCAGCGGAAGCGCTGCTGCCGTTGGGGACCCCCACCTTCAAAACGTTCATGGCGAGCGGTTCGATTTGATGAAAGCGGGCACACATGTTCTGATAAACATCCCTCGTGGACTGAGCGCTGAAGACGCATTTCTTCGCGTGCAGGCTGATGCGCGCCGGCTGGGACGACACTGCGCGGACATGTATTTCCAAGCATTGAACGTTACAGGGTATTGGGCAGAGGCCGAACAAGTTGGAGGGTATCATTTCAGCGTTTCTCAAAGCTCAGCCAAGGTCCCAGAACGGCTCGCGTTGGGTCCAGTACAGTTGAAAGTCGTTCATGGACATACGGACAGTGGCTCCTTGTATTTGAACGTGTTCGTGAAACATTTAGGGCGAGCAGGATTTGCCGTCGGAGGTCTTCTGGGGGAGGACGACCACACAGACGTGACCTTGCCGTCGGAATTATGTGCGACGCGTACGGAGCTCCATGAGCCTGCGTACCGAAATGGTCCGAGTGGCTCAACTACTTCATCTGTTGCCCTTGCATCTTACGCTTGACAGTGGTAGCTAAAGTCGATGGAGGAAGGGGATGGTGCAACGTGAACCATGGCGCGCAAGTGACCGAAGCCGCTCAGTCAAGCAGAGCAGCGGCAGAGAGCCACATGGTTTGTCATGTAATCAATTGATGTGGCAAACAGTGGCCAAAGCCAAGTGGCCAACGCCGTTCAGTGAGGTGGAGCCGATGCTGAGAGCCACACCGCTTCGATTTTCTCGACTCTTTCTCCGTCCCCTCTCTTCTTCCCTTATCGTCGCTCCAGCTGTCGCGCCCAACCAGGCGTCCTTTTGTCGTTCAAGCATGAATGTATGGTTGATGCGTCGGATATTCGGTTTGGCCAGGAACTGACTACTATGCTCGGATTTGCATTGCCTTGGAATGCATGTGGTTGTTCTTATTTCCTCTTGGCCACCTCTCCTGCTGCCTCGACCTTGAAACGTTCACGTAAGCGGGGGTGTTTTCTGGTGGAGCACGCTGGGACGAGCTAAGCAGGGTTGGCAGCTTTATGCAACATTGCATTCGAATTGCTTGCCATCAGGGTTTCTTATAGTCTAGACGCTTCGCGTGACCCCACCAGCCCATCCAGAAACGAGTCCAGGCGAGTTGCCTTGATCAGGGAAGTGCAGGAACAAGCAGTGGAACAAACATGGGGGGGAGCATCCTTTCAGACTGTTACCAAGCTGTCACTAATCGTGGCATCCTGGGAGGCCCAGAGGCGTGACGTCTTACTGGAAAGCAAACTAGACCTCGCGTCCAGTGTGTGTGGGGGGAGGTCGAGCGCCCACGGCTGGTCACATGTCGAGGCATTGGTCAATATGGCGACCTGGATGTGCTTTGGGGCAGATGTTCAGCGGCACTGCCCCCCAGCAGGTTCGTGGAGGGATATTTGTAGATCGCAACCGTAGCCTCCTTCGTGAGCTTCTGGGATATCCAGCAGCATGCGGCCTCCTCATTCTTTGCCTCCTGCTCCGGCTCAAGCCGCTTCGCCTCCGGCAGGAGCAGCTGCTCCCATCCCACTGAACCTTACACACTCGAACGTCGGTGTTCGCTCCAATTCAGCGCAAGTTCAGTCTGCTCCAACGCAATTCGAAGAAGAAGACACGCCATAGACATAAACTTTTGGCGCTCCGCGCGGATTTCTTGGATCTGCGCTGGACCCCCCCAGCGGCGCCTCTAGCGCCGCACCTGGCGGCTCCGCGCGCCAGGGGGGTGCTCTAGCCCAGATCCAAGAAAGTCGCGCGGACCTCCAAAAGTTCATGTGCATGCTGCTTTTTCTTCCTCCAGCAATGGCCCGATTCCTTCTGAGCACAGTCTTCTGGCTGTCGCCGTCAATCGGCGGAACGGCTGCCATGACCGTTGTGTCCACCAACCAGTCCCTCGGTGTCGCGAATCGCAGCGCGGAGGCCACGACCGCGAGTGCCTCGACGGCGACGCCGTCTGAAGTACCAACCACAGTCGGGTACAACAACGCTCTCCAGCAGGAGCCCAAACTTACGAACGGTGACTTCTCATCCGGATCCAATACGCATTCCATTCTTTCCAATCGTCCGAGCCCAGACCCAGTCGTTGGCGATTCGTATTATTTTGATCTCGGTGGTGTTTACGACGTGGCTTCAATTGCGATTGCCCCCGGTAATGCAAAATGGGGTGGAACCGAATGTCCCAAGGTCATCAACATCTACACATCTAGCAGCTTGAATGGGCCTTGGGCCATGTCGCAAGCAATTACAAATGGTGATTCGAGCCCTGCTCGGAAGGACTTTTCGTTGGCGTTAATGACGACGCAATTCGTCAGGCTGCATTTCGTGAGTAGTCATGGCAATAGTCGTGTCCTTGTCCGACAGGTCGCATTCTTTGCCAGCCAGGCGACGCCATCTCCGACCCCGTACCCAACGTTTTACCCAACGGCCTACCCCACGGCTTTCCCGACGTCCAGTCCGACTGCCATCCCGACCGGCGGAAGCGCTGCTGCCGTTGGGGACCCCCACCTTCAAAACGTTCATGGCGAGCGGTTCGATTTGATGAAAGCGGGCACACATGTTCTGATAAACATCCCTCGTGGACTGAGCGCTAAAGACGCATTTCTTCGCGTGCAGGCTGATGCGCGCCGACTGGGAGGACACTGCGCGGACATGTACTTCCAAGCATTGAACGTTACAGGGTATTGGGCAGAGGCCGAACAAGTTGGAGGGTATCATTTCAGCGTTTCGCAAAGCTCAGCCGAGGTTCCAGAATGGCTCGCGTTGGGTCCAGTACAGTTGAAAGTCATTCATGGACATACGGACAGTGGCTCCTTGTATTTGAACGTGTTCGTGAAACATTTAGGGCGAGCAGGATTTGCCGTCGGAGGTCTTCTGGGGGAGGACGACCACAAAGACGTGACCTTGCCATCAGAACTATGTGCGACGCGTACGGAGCTCCATGGGCCTGCGTACCGAGATGGTCCGAGTGGCTCAAATACTTCATCTGTCGCCCTTGCATCCTACGCTTGACAGTGGTAGCTAAAGTCGACGGAGGAAGGGGATGGTGCAACGTGAACCATGGCGCGCAAGTGACCAAAGCCGCTCAGTCAAGCAGAGCAGCGGCAGAGAGCCACATGGTTTGTCATGTAATCAATTGATGTGGCAAACAGTGGCTAAAACCAAGTGGCCAACGCCTTTCAGCGAGGTGGAGCCGATGATGAGAGCCACATCGCTTCGATTTTCTCGACTCTTTCTCCGTTCCCTCTCTTCTTCCCTTATCGTCGCTCCAGCTGTCGCGCCCA